TCTTTTACATGTTAACGGTAACTAATTTTATGTCGGCGTCAGACAAACAATCAACAAAGAACATTAAATTTTTAGATAAATAATCAAATCAAAAGAACATTATCTTACATAATGCAATAACATTCCAAAAATGCAATTTCTGCACCACCACTCGCAACATGATGGTACCCTCACGCGTGTGACCGTTCGGAAGCTTTGTCGTTATTTTGGCGTCAACGCAAAATTAGTTTAAATGAGTTTCGGAACTTATATACCTATATAAATTAAAAAGGTTTACTTTAATATAATTTTTCACTTTTGAGTTTCTTGTTTCGCTGCTTTATTTTCTTCTTAAATAGTTTTTACCTTTATTTCATTTGTCTTTACTTAGTCAGTTTTCAAATTTCGTTTATTTAACAAGAAATATATCCAAAACTTTTATCTGTCCATGTATAATTGTCAATATTCAATAATCGTTTGAGATAATTTATCTCGTCATGGTTTGAACTAATAAATATTGCATGAATAAATCAAAATACTAAATTGTGATGCATTTTAAGGTAAATAAAGTACACATTTCACCATCTACTAGCACAGACGGCAACATAATGAAAGCATTGTGAAATCTGTAGTTATTTTGTTCCCTGTAATAATTGAAACTTTCGATTCAATGTAACGTGCTTAAAACAGAAGATGGCAGCCTATGTCGTGGACCAGCAATCCTTACAGGCTGGATTCAAGATAATGTTAATTTATTTTTATAGTATTTAACTAAAAAATTTTTAAATAAAACGTATTTGCTATATTTGTTTACCTCTGATTTGGTACTTTCATCTTTTAAATATTGGAGCGTTTTTAGAGCAATAGTGGCGTTTGCACTATCACTGATTGCTAAAATCATCGAGAAAATTATTTTTCTTACCTTTTTTTGCTTAAGTAATTGAGGTATATGTTTTTATACCTTTATATTGTAATTTTCTCAGTACAGTAACAATGTGTTCCTATACATGCTCCCTTATTTGCCTTTGGCAAGCATTTCCATTTGAAACAACGGAAACAACAGGAAACTTGACGAAATATTTACAACCCCATTTTGGCTCTGCTCTTTTTTACTTTTACACATTGTAACAAGGGGAAGAAAAGAAATTCATAGCTTCTTTAGCTTTAGGTTAATCCAATAAGTAAAGTTATTGAAATCTTTTTTAAGACCTTTTGATTACTATCAATATCTTGTAGTTTTCAGGCATCTACGGCCAACGTTTTCTTTTCTGGTTGACCGTGATCCATGGATATTTCGCCGTTCCTATCTGATGACTAGGCAGGTGCTGAATGACTGATGTTTCTGACGTCAGGAAAACAATATTGAATCCACAATATTTTGGATTATCCATTTCAAAGGAGTTCATAAATTTTTGCACTCTCTTCAGAGTAATAACATTTATTGAAATGTATTTATTTTTTTTTACTTCAGTAGAATTTCTTTGCAAATTATTAAATAAAATAATCAAGTATTTTTTAAAATTTAATATCCCCTAATTAAATCTCTAATGTCTAGATATATGATTAGTGTTTACAATTCAAGGGTTGGGCTCTTATATGTAACGTGTATATGTCACTTTGTGGATTTCTGTACTTAGATTTATGTTTGGATTGCTCGACCATTGTGAACTGAAACACTGACGAGACAAGTTATACAACAACTCTGTAGTCCGTCCTAGTTTTTTAGAATTTGATTTATGGTAGATATGACATTATGTTTTAGCTGTACCAAACACCCTGCATATGAAAAAAAAGCTGCAGGAATTTCTACGAATTTGCCTCTATCATGTCGTATTTTTTAAAAGATAATGCCGCCCTTTCATGATCGCATGAAACAGAGTATCCCTATACTCGGTTCTCAATTCATCACTATAACAGGCGAGGAGTCGGTGACATTGAAAGTACCATCATCGTAGAATTGCAAAATTTTTAAAAAAATTGATAATTGATAATTATACGAACAAAATGGCCATGGTACACTTTAAGTTACTTAATCGAAAGTATATTAAAAAACTTATCACTACATAGTACGAAACAACGTCGCTTCCAGCTGTCTGTCCCTATGTATGCTTAGATCCTTAAAACTACGAAATGGATTTTGATGCGGTTTTTTTTAATAGATAGAGTGATTCAAGAGGAAGGTTTACGAGGGTGGATTGATAAGTTTCCGGCCTAACCAAGAGATGACGCCACTAGGCCTACCTTGAGGTGACATTCTATAGTACCATCCTTGGATAGCTTGTAGCTATAGTTTCAGCCCGATCTCCTTGCTAGTGTAGGTTTGACAGCACGCTGAACAAGACGCCTCTGTGGTTTTCGTAAAAATGGAAAAGCAGG